GTCACCGAGCAACAAATCGTGCAGCAGACGAGCGCCGACAGGGAGCAACAGATCAAGCAGGAGATCGACGCGCAGGACAGCATGGATCGTACCACGGTGCAAACGTTGCCGATCGGTGGCGCCGGTTCCGAGGTGACCGACTTCGCCGAGACCTTGGATCTCAGTCAGGAGGATATCCAGCGAACGTTATCCGCGAACATGGTGCCGCCGTCGCCGTCCCCTTCCCCGGCGGACAACAGCATGATCAATCCGATGGACTTCATCGACTCGTCCGACGACGTTCTGGTCAATCTGGACGCGTTCGACGTGTTCGGCGACCTGCCGGAGCTGCACGATTTCGAGGCCGAGCAGACCAAAGCCGAGGAGAGGGGTGGGTCCGATAACGACGTGGGATGTCATCCGGGTACAACCGTCCATATTGCAGAGTACAGTCCGGAATGGAGTTACACCGAGGGTGGTGTGAAGGTACGTGTTTCTCTTTAATTCTCGTCTAGCTCAGAGGATCGATGGTAAAGTACGAAGAAGAAGATGTCGCGCCTGTTTGCAGGTACTGGTCGCTGGCCCGTGGACCGGCGGAAGTAATTCTCAATCGTACTCGGTACTGTTCGACGCCGAGCCGGTTGAAGCCTGCCTGGTGCAGCCAGGCGTGCTGCGTTGCCGTTGCCCCGCTCACGCTCCTGGGATAGCGTCCCTTCAGGTAGCTTGCGACGGTTTCGTTGTCTCCGACAGCGTCGCCTTTGAATACCGGAGAGCGCCTACGACCGAGCCGAGCCCGGAGAGAGCTCTGCTGGATCGTTTGGCGGATGTCGAGTCTCGTCTGCAAGGACCCGGCCCACCATCCCCCGCAGTTCACCTGGAAGAGCGACTTGTCGCGTATTGTCAGGTCTGTTTCTCATCGATGTTCACTTTGAATTGCTGCGTTTCGCTGGTTAGGCTAATCCGATGCGTTCGTAAATGCTTCAGGATGCTGTTGTCCGTCCGTGGCGAGCCGGAGCGGAACCGTTACAATCCGGTGGCCCTACACTGTTGCATTTGGCCGCCGGGTTGGGCTACTCCAGGTTAGCCTGCGCGCTCCTCCATTGGAGAGCGGAAAATCCTAGTAGCGTATTAGATGCCGAAGTCGATGCCCTGAGGCAGGATAGCGCCGGTCTCACGCCGCTTGCTTGGGCTTGCGCGGCGGGACACGCGGATACTGCCAGGATACTTTATAGGTTCGTACCGACAACCGCCTAATCTCTTCTAATGCAATATGGAAAACGCACGTGCGAGATACTCTTCCAAGCCCCGTCGTATCAGGCTGGGCACAGGTTCTAACCTGCACAGTCGGCGCGACAAGTTTGCTGGCGTTAACCGGGAACAATTGTCATTCTGCGCAGATGGAACGCGATGGCGCTCCGCGTGCGGGATTGCCAGAACAGAACAGCGACCGAGCTGGCTGCGGAGAACGGTCACACGGCGATCGCGGAAGAATTGAACCGTCTCGAAGCGAGGAGGCAAGACGAGAGGCTATTCTTGCGGCCCGCCAGCCCTAGTCCTAGGAGGCCATCTCAAGACAGCGGTCTCGATCTGGCGTTGTGTTAGTCTCGTTTAATATTATACTGCCCTCTTCCGTGAATCTTACACGCACATACAGATTTCACGTCCAGAACACGTAATCTCACCGAAAGCCTATCCCCCCGCCCCCGGCCTGTTTACATTCTCCAGCAAACCTCTTGAGAATTCGATCAGCACCCCTTGAGCGCGCCACGTGATTTTAATGAGAAAACTAGCAAAAAAGAACCCACCGCCCTTAGTCTCCCGTCACAACCGTTAAGACGTTAGAGTACAAGGTCGTAAAGAGTGATGCGAGCGTGAAACCGATTTAAATCAGGAGAACTGTAGTATTAAGGGGTTTATCGAAAAACACAGGTGGCTCGCCGCTGTTGGACAACATGGAATTGTTGCAAGAGGATGACTCGTCATTAGCCCTCAGCGAGCAGGGAATGGAGAGCGCTCCGACCCCTCAGGAGACTGTAGGTCCGTACCTTCCTCGTTTCCCCTTCTATTTGTCTGTCTGTCTGCCTGTCTATCTGTAACTATTCGTATAATCTGTGTGTTCTCTAATTATACACTTTATAGATTCATCGGCCTAGATAAAACAGTACTGCGCCTCCGGGCTGTGATTCAGTAGTATGTCTCCTAGCTAAAACTGCGTCCCTCTTACAATTTCTGTTTCTGTCTTTCTTTTCTCTGTGTCTATCCCTCTTTCTGCCTTTCTCTCTCTCTCTCTCTCTCTCTCTCTCTCTCTGTCTCTATGTTTTCTCTGTTTCTCTTTGTCTTTTCGTTTCTGTCTCTGTTCCATGCACACGCGCATACACACGCAGACGCGCGCGCACACACAGGCACACAGTCACACAGACCCATAGACACATGTACACACGCACATTCACACACAGGCGCGCGCACAACACGTACACACACACGAAAAGACATTGAAACGCATACACAGAACTAGGAGAATTCTTTAATTTTGTTTCACTGTTTCTATCTGTCTATCTGTCTATGCGTACGAGACGACCGGGACGGTCCAGGCTCTCTCGCTGTCCTCTAAACTCCTCTGAACTCTTGCAGCTTAAAAGCAGTATTGGTGTTGCTTGGCCTTCGTAAAACCGCTGGTGTTGGATGATTGCTGTGTAACGTCTAAAACAAACGAAACAAAAAAACAAACAGAGTAAAACACTTTCTTAGCCGACCGTTATCGGCCGCCGAACCAGTTCCTCCTCGAGAGACGGACGCCGCCGTCTACGACTGTCGTAAAACGCTGACTCGTTCGTGAACATTGTGGATGTTGCGCTGTGACAAACGCATTTTAGCCGGAACACGTGCGCACGTTGACCGTTCGACGAGCTGAGAATCGATACATACGTATACCACGTCTGCCCTCGTCCCGTTCGAAGACGTTCGATTCCGTAATCGTTTAACGATCCTCTGCAAAGACAAACAAAAAACTATCACGGAAAAGTACAAAACAATCCTTGGCGGTACACGTTCCGATTAACGTACTACTTCGTCGTAGAGAACATGCGTTGACACGGCTTAAAGAATAATAAGAAAAAGCATACGATACATACGACGAGATCATTGAAAAGAAACGAGAAACAAAAGAGAACTAACGAAAACCTAAACATACCTCGGTGTTGTGATCGATGTGATTTCGCCGGTCCCCTCGTTACTTTTTCGAGTTTTGGCTAGGGTGGTGATTCCTTTTTATAGGGGAGGAAGACGCGAGGGTGCTGACATTGGCTGAGCAAATTATAGCTGCCCTGCCGGAGAGGATCAAGAGAGCGGAAGGTGATTCCCCGTCTTCTTCCTCGCCGCCTCCCCCGGCACCGCCATTGTCGCCACTGGAGGACGCTCTGATGGATCAAATGGTGAGTAGACGTCTCTGGACGACCATCTTAACGTTCGGTTGCTCCGGAAACTATATCAGCGTCGATTCAGATTTTCCAAGGAGCTTTCCAATATTCCATTTTCCATTCACATGTTCCGGATCATTGGGATTCTTGCAGCCGCTCGATTCCGGGGAGTTGTTCGACTCGTACCGCGAGTGCAGCGGAGGCGCAGCATCGGTGTCGGACGCCGACGCGGACGCGAGTCCGTCGAGTCCGTCGAGCAGCTGCCTGACGCCGGACTCGCCGTCCCCGCCGCCCACCACCGCCGACTTTTGCGAGTTCTTGCAGCTGCAGTTGCAACTGGACGGCGGCAACGGTCGTAACGGGCAATACTACGCGACCGGCGAAGGGCGGAAGTTCGGTAACGTGATCGGCTCCGGGATTTGCGGGGCTGTGACGGGTGGCGGTAACGGGGCCGGGACCGGGACCGGGGACGGGAGCGAGGCGGACTTGAGCAGGCTCACCTTGTCCGACTGCGAGCAAAGGGAGCTCTACCATGCGGCGCGTATGATCCAGAAAGCCTACAGAAACTACAAGGGCCGCCAGAGGCAGGAGGAGGCCGAGAGACACGCCGCCGTACTCATCCAGCAATATTATCGTCGACATAAACAGTACGCTTATTATAGGTAATCTGTTTCTAGCTTAACGCGGCCGTTCTTTGCGTCTTTGCTCCCCAACGATCATCCGCCCCCGGAACAATCTTGAAGCTTCTCGCATCGATCGTGTTAGGCGGGTTTCTCTTTGATCGAAGATCGTCTCGTTCCCCGACAGGTTCGGATAGAAACGGAGGTCTACCGCGTGCCCCTTGGAACGGGGGTCACGGGAATTGTTCGATCGCGAAACTTTCGAAACCGACTAATTCCGCTCGGGGCTATATCGTCAGATTCCGCGGCTCGGGAGGTTCGTTTTAATAAGCGGCAATTAATAAAAGGAAGAAGACAGGCGGTACGATCGCGACGGGGGCCAATTTAACGATTCAGTTGAATCGGACGGATTTCCAGGGAACTTGGTTTCCGTCTGCCTCCCTCGGCCCGGGGGAGAACTTTTAATTGGCATCGTAAATAATTCGAAAAGTTTCGGAAGTTCCTTAGTGGGGCCGCACGGCGTGTCGCGGGCCGACGTTCCGAATACAAAATTAACCTGGCATTAAATTAATACGACTTTTGTTTGAGATGAAAGCTTAACCTGCTCCCAATCCAGCCCGCTTCTTACGCTCGTCCTTACTGCAATATCCGTACAGGGTGAACCTGTCCGACACGCACACCTGAATTATTCATAAATTATGCTCTGCGAGGGGAATTGTTGTGGACACGGAGGTTGCATGGTTCCGGGAGCAAGCTGATCGCCAACTATTCCCTTCCGTTTAAAAGCGTTTGAAACGAGAGAACTCGAGTGATCCGATAAGCGAAACTTGCTTGGAAATTCCCATTCCCCGTTTGGGGGAGGACGAGGAAGAATTTGTCGATCAGTCCAGGTGTGCGGCGTCGTGCAGCGGTCCGCTCTGTGTACACAGTCAGCATTCTCTGTTATCGCGCGCGTTGCCGAGGCGTTTTATTTGACGGTCTGTGTACCACTTCTCCCGTTTCGCAGACAAGCCACGAAGGCCGCGCTGGTGATACAAAGCAACTACCGGAATTATCGGTCGCGCCCCGGGTCCGCGAGCTCCCGGCAGCAGGCGGTCCATCAGCAGGCCGCGCATCAGGCGGCGAGGAAGATCCAGCAGTTCATGCGACAGTCGAAAATCAAGTTAGTATCCGGCCGGGTGCACCTAATTGCATTTCCTGTTGCAACGGTGTGCACGCATTATTAGTTATGTAGAACTTCTTGTTAGCACACGAAAGGCTTATCGTAACGAAAGACATCTAAAAGTTCTAAAGTCTCCCTCTTCTGTGTGTACTAATGCAGCTTGTCGTGGGACGATTCACGACCGGTAAGTAACGTACAAACAAGTAGGGCGATTGTCGCGCGGCAAACACTGCTCGTTATTTATTTCCGGTACAAGAGAAACGAAAAGAGAAAACGAAACGAAACTAACGAACAAATCACGGAAAAGTAACGGAAAAGTAACGGAAAAGTAACGGAAAAGTAACGGGAAGATAACGAAAATACAACGAAAATGCAACGAATCTCTATCCTACGGGGGATACTTCGCTGTCTCGCTGTCTCGCTTTCACCAGGACGATCAGTGCACCCTGTTATTCACGACACCAAACAGACAAAACGAAAAAGACTTAAAGCTAGAGACCTCCGATCCGTGTTTCGGCCGAGAGATTAACTGAAAGATGATAAAGTACCATGTCTCCGATTAGCTACTCTGTGTTTTTTACGGAATGTAATCGGTGCTTTGTTGTTTCCCTGTTTATCGATGTTACTGATCGTGTTTTACCAAGTACCAAGTCCATGCAACTGTGTTCATACGTATATACGGAGCTTGTCATAGACGACGAGATATGACGTTTCTTCGATTGCTCACTTTGCTCGACGATAGATACCTGTTCTGTGTGTGTGTTACCAAACGACCGAGAACGCGAACTTGCCTCTGTGTGCTACCTTCTGCTGGTATACATGTATATATTAGCTTCGCTGGTAAAAGTGTACACACGCTAGATTAATGATACTCTTGCTAACCGTACTCTTCGATCCTCGTTCGATCTTCGGCCGTTGTTGCAATCCCGTCAAACCGAGGAGCACTGTACATTAATCTATTCGGTAGTAGACCTCTAGTCCGAGTTAGTCGTAGTCTGAACTCTACCTCTGACAATCTACGATCTTCTTTCTCTCTCTCTCTCTCTCTCTCTCTCTCTCTCTCTCTGTCTCGCAATCATTCGAATCGGTAGCTAAAGCATCCCAGTAAGTGTGTACATTCTCACCGGTGTGTGTGTTTCTGTGTACACTTTTACCTGTAACATATACACAGCAACTCTACCCGTCACATTCCGAGATCGTGTCGGTAACTACTTCCAATAACGGTAACTTCCTCAACAGACTGCGCATTTTTATGCATTTACAATCGACTGCAATTGGAAAACTTGCAATCGATCGTTTCCGCGTGTCGCGTCTCCGAGAACCTCCGAAACGAATAACAGAGTTTTCGAAGGAAAAGAGAATTTGCAGAAACATCCGCAAATCGTCGGAAGCCCCGAGTCGAGAGCCGAATGCCGATATTCTCGAGCAGAGTGTCCAATTGCGGAGCCAAGAAACTTAGTTGCGCTCGTTTGTTTCGTAGTTGACGTGTTTCCTCAGAGTGCTTGATCATTCAGTGTCATGTATGCACAACTCGCCAAATAGCCGTAGCCGGGCTAGGTAAATCGGATCTACATGAACGAAATACGTTTCTGGGACTAGGCTGCAGAACGCCAGGGCCGCCGCAAACGGGAACGGGAGGCAGCCAGCGGCCATTTTACGGGGGGTTGCTGTCCCCCAAAGCTCGCCCTCATCTAGCCCAGGGGCCAGCCTAGTAGCCGCCAGCCCAGAGGTCACTTAATCGACCGTCGCTCGACAAGCACGCGGAACGCCGATCACGTTTCGGACGCGAAACAATAGAGCCTAGGCCATCCTGCATTGAGAAAGCTCGCCAGTGGGGGACGGCTCTGGAGGAACGATTCGTTCGACGTATCGGCGAGCATCGTGGGGGCGGCCAGCACACACCCCCCGACCCGAGGATCGTTTTCGGATCGACCACGAGCAGCGCGCGGACACACGGTTTTCGCTCTCTACGACACACCCCCTTTCTTTCCTCCCTTTCTTTTCCGGCCACCCGATCGAAACACGCGTACCCTTTTCGCCCAAGCACGTCGACCCCTCGATGGTCGCGTCTAGTCCTTCGACGCATCCTATCTTTTTATCTTTCGCTTCGACGCCCGCCGTCTTCTAACCTATATTCTGTATTTATTCTCCACTCTCCGCATCTCTCTTCGACGGTCGACGTTTCAGCGGCGCAACAAAGGTAGGTGGTCCTGTCCCACGAAAATTCCGGCGCGCCGCGTTAACACTTCGAGGGCCGCGTTGCGAAAGGAGAATGCGTTTGGTGGATGCTCCGCGAGGTAGGTCGGCCACTCGAAGTGTTACGGGTCGCGTGTGTCCCGCAGACACGATCGAGATGCCACGTGGAACGGTATCGTTGCTCCTCGTTTGGGGCGCTGACTATCATCGATCACACTTTACGACTGAGAGTACAAAAAGAGGCTACGTTCTCGCTGAAACCTTTCTCAGCGAACGACCGTTTCCCGTTCCGCGTCGATTCGCCAGTCAGCTTCCTGAACTCGTTTCAATCCGCGTGAGCCCGACTCCTCGAAATCCATTTTCTTCGCCGGTTCGCGTGTCGGTGAGTCGTTCGCGCGGGTATCCTGCTTTCGTTTTGGTTCTTTCTTTTTTCTACTTCCGCGCGACGCGTACGAGACAGTATTTCGCCAACTGTGCTATTTCTTTTCTTATTTTACCTCACGAAACTCTTGGAGTTTTCTTTAGATTTCTCTACCAAATTTCTAGATTATTCGGATAACTACGATGAAACAGTATTGAAGCGATCATTGAAACGTATAAAGTATTCTTCGAATTTCTATAGGAAAACTAACAATCGGGAGATTAAAGACGGTAATCGACAAAGACATTCGCTATAATTTTAAGTAGTTTACCCTTGGACGTTTCTATCTGTTCGCATTTGGAAAGCGACGACGGTCCGGGCCCGCGGTACTCGTTCGTCACGCGAACCGAGATCGCGAGAACCGCTTCGACACTGCGATATTCTCATCGGGCGGCGGCGAACGATCTCTTCTTCCGTGGCACGATAGTTTCTCCTTCGTCGCTCGTGACGAGGAAGGCAATATACACGATTCAGGTCGATGGATGTGGATCAGCTTATTTCCGATCAAGTTCTGCTATATCTGGTATATCTGGTACATCTGGGATTTCGGATGAACAAACGAGAGCCCGAGTGAATGGACGAGAGAAAGAGATGATCGGTAGAGTGTGCGAGTGTGAGCGCGTGAGAAAATACGAAGG